AAGATGCATTATATAAAGGTACAATTCCCAATGAGAAATGTAATTGTGTTGTATACCTACAATGTACCAATAAAAGAATTTAATACAAAAAAAATGTGTCCTATTATAGGTGTACAGTTTGGGCTATATAGATTTATGAGATTTTTCTAAAAATATTACATGATTTCTGAAAATATTACTTCTATATTTAGAGAGCTGATGGTGAAATTTAGGGTAAAGTAGTAAAAGGCAAAAGATTTATACGATTTGAGGAGAAACCAGAGTATAGGATAAAGTAGTAGTAATTATGCACTTTCTGTTAGTGAAACAAAGTTGAAAACAAAATGCATTGTATAGTGTAATACTTGTGAATGCAAGCTGCGAGTCAGCCTGGGAAGGCCAAATCAGGGAGAAGTGGTGCTTTTCATTTTATCAGTTTTCTCCTCCTGAAATATAATAACCAGTCAATAAATATTAGCTGTTATTTCTCAGTAAATAAAATGAACAGTAAAGGCAAAGAAACCCTATATATTCTCAGGTATTACCATATAAGCTATTATAAAACACCTTTGAATTTAAGATAAAGAAATCCCTATCTTAATATCATTAACTTAATTTTTAGAATACCAAAATAATTAAATTATCTTATTTTTCAAGAAGGCTGATACTTTGAAAAGTTTTTTTTTAACTACTTTGTCCCACTTTGCTTTATGTAAAGAAAAATCCATGTCTGTTTTTGTCCAAAGATCATAGATTTGTATCAGAATCTATGAAAACAGATGATGGACAAAATTAATTTTAGATTTAACTCAAATTTCATCAAGACTTACTTCAGAATTGAGATAAATTATATTTGTCCATGATGAATAAAATAATATTGTTATAATTTCAAGGGACTATTATTTAAAGAAATAAATTATTTTAAGCTTTGGAAACTAGTGTTTAAAATCAAAACCTTGTGGACCAGAACCTTGTAAATAAAAGATTATTTGCCTAATTATAGTTCTCCGTGTATAGTGGAATTTAAGTGGTCTTTTTCTATTCAGTTTATTTATTTGATGGTACCGAGGATAGAACCCAGCACCTCATGCTTGCTAGGAAGTGCTGTACCACTGAGATATACTCCCAGTTCATAAACAGAATTTTCTAAAAGTGATTTGCATCATAGGATTTCACGTCTTCGTTCATGGTAGTTTGGATTTTTGGGAAACCATCTATCAGTTAAATTTTTTGTTCATTCAACAAATACTTGCTGAAAATATTCCATGTGTGCAGATATACCTTGATAAATTAACAATTATAATATGGTAAAAAGGCTTAAGATTGTGGATTTTGGAGCCAGCCTATGTGTGATTTATTATTTGTATGATACTAGACTAATTCTGTGTCCTCAATTTCTCATCTGTCAAGTGGAGGTAAAAATAGTACCTGCCCCGTGGGATTGTTATGAGGATTAAAGGAGTTCATATAAGTAATGGCCTTAGAATAGTAACTGGCCCACTGTAATTGGTATATAACTATTTACTATTATTATTATAAGACAGATATGGTCTCAGGGCTGGGGATTTAGATCTGTGCCTGCCTGGCAAGCACAAGGTCCTGAGTTTGATCCTTGGGTTTTTTGGGGGGGAAAAAAATTTTAAAAAAACAAATATGGTCTCTACCCTTGTAAACTTTATACTCTATAAGGGGAGACAAGTAGTAGATAACAAAATAATTATTCATTATAATAAGTTATGAAGGCAACGAGCAGTATTTTTTAAAATCTGTTTTTATTAGTGCATACATATTTGTCATACATAATAATCACATTCATCATAGGGAACTTGTACCTGTACATAATACGCCTTAATTCGTTTTTTCCCATTCCCCTGACCTCCCTTCAACTCTTCTTCCCCTCCCCATTTATAAAAGTTTTGTTTCCATTTTTTTCCCTTCCATTCTCTTTTTTTAAAAGCGCTTTTCCCTTCCTTCCCTTCCCCTTTCCCCCTTGCCTTTCTTGTTACCCTTCCTATTTGAACATGTTCTTCCTACTTCCAATATTTATCTTTCGCTTTGGTCCTTATTTACCCTTTGGATTTCTCACACAAGAGAAACAATGGAATATTTAAACTTGTGTGTCCGGTTTATTCACTTAACATTATGGTCTTGAGTTGTATCCATTTACCTGAAATGACTCAACTCCGTCCTTCTTTATGGCAGAGTTATTTCTCCATTGTATATAAATACCACATTTTCTTTGTCCATTCATCTGTTGCTAGGCATATGGGCTGTTTCCAAGATTTAGCTATTATAAATTGTGCTGCTATAAACAATGGTAGTATGTATATATCACTTGGTATGATGCTTTTAACTTTTAAGGGAAGATACTTAGGGCACAGCTGGGTCAAATGGAACCTCTAGTTTTAGTTTTTTGAGGAATCTCCATATTGATTTCCATAGTGGTTGTACCGACAGTGGAGAAGTGTTCCTTTTCCCCCACAGCCTTGCCAGCATTTGTTATTGGTTAATTTCTTTTTTTTTTTTGGTACCGGGGATCGAACTTGGGTCCTTGTGCTTGCACTTGTGCAGCAGGCGGCGAAACCAGTGCTAAATCCCCACCCTGTTGGTTAATTTCTTTCTTTCTTTCTTTTTTTTTTTTTTGGTACCGGGGATCAAACTCGGGACCTTGCGCTTGTGTGGCAGATGCCGGAACCACTGAGCTAAATCCCCGGCAATTGGTTAATTTCTTGGGGTTTTTTGGGGTTTTTTTTTGGTACTGGGGATCGAACTCGTGTCCTTGTGCTTGCACAGCAGGCGGTGAAACCACTGAGCTAAATCCCCGGCCCAGTTAGTTAATTTCTTGATGATAGCCATTCTTTCTGGAGTGAGATGGAATCTCAGTGTTTTAATTTGCATTTTTCCTTCCTTCCTTCCTTCCTTCCTTCCTTCCTTCCCTCCTTCCTTCCCTCCTTCCCTCCCTCCCTCCCTCCTTCCTTCCTTCCCTCCTTCTGTCCTTTCCTCCTTCCCTCCTTCCCTCCTTCCCAGGATCAAACTGAGGACCTTGCACTTGCAAGGTAGTGGCACCACTGAGCTAAATCCCTGGCCCTAATTTGCATTTCTTGAATGACCAGTGACAACAAACAGTATTGACTGGAAAATAATAGAATGAGGATATCACAGATACAATAGCTAACGGAAGCCTCTCTGAGGTCACTTCTAAGATGATTGGGAAGGAAGGATGGGCATGAGCCTTTTAGACCACCTCCAGCAACTAAAGCAGAAGCCACACAATTAAAGTTTTTCTAAATATCAACCATGTATTATTTTGAATGAAAAGAATTAGTGGGAATTAGTGAAAAATCTTTCAGCTGTTTTATTGTGTTGAAAGTAAGAAAATGTATTCCAAAGGCTTGTCCCATTCCCATATCTTACTCTGAATGACTTAATTATTATCCTAGGAGACTCAGATTTCAATTGTTTCTTCCTTTTTTGAATCTTGTTTATAGTTAGTATGATTGATTCCTGAAAGGGATTGATTACTAGTTAGTTTCAAGCCTATTACATGTATATGCCTAATAATTAAAATAGGTCCCAAGCATCTCTCTTAGTCATTTATAAAATTCAAAATATATGAAAAATCACATCTTAGCTTGCAATTCAAAAGGTTTTCTTACTAAAATTGAGGAGCATGGGACAGAGATGATGAAGTTTTAATAAACTTTAATAATATCATGTAGTATCATAAGAAAAATATATAATGCTGAGAACAATAGGTGTCTTGTGGTTTACCTGAAACCTTCACTTGATTTAATAGGATTCTTCCTGAGAAGTTTTGAGAATAGTAAAGTCTAGAACTTTTGGGGGAATCTTAACATCTTTTTTATAAAATGAAATATTTAATATTAATTTTACTTATGCTCATTTTAATAGATTTTCAGTTAGTGTTTTCATTGTGGGATTATTATAGATTAAAGTGTACACAACATGTTTTGTGAAATGTCTTTATTACTGCCTTGGTAATGTCATGGATATGCAGCCAGCTCAGGAAGAACATAGAGAAGATCCAGATTTTGAAACTAAGGAAGAAGAAGGAATTGAAAAGTGCTCCAAAACAGAAGTAAAAGAAGATCCTGAATCAAAAGCAGAAAGAGATTTAAAAGCTTCCCAGAAATCTGTCAGAAGACACAGAAACATGCACTGCAAGGTCTCATTGCTGGATGACACAGTTTATGAATGTGTTGTAGAGGTGAGTTCATTCTAATTTTCAGTAGTCAGAACTCTTAACAAACTGTTTCATGTAGAGTTGGATAAATAGTGCCTTGGCTCAAGATGAGACCTACTCTAATGACTATTTCTTTGGATTAAGATATTAATAATGGGCTGGGGATTTAGCTCAGTGGTTCTGCTGCCTGCCTCTCAAGCTAAGGACCCGAGTTCGATCCCCGGTACCAAAAAAAAAAAAAAAAAAAGATATTAATAATGATTTTCTGGAGAGGAGAGTATAGGGAGAAGTACGAGTGGGTCTTATTTTCTTCTCCAGTTTTTTTCTGCATCTCTCAAATCTTGTGACCTAAGCATGTATTACTTTTACAGTAAAAAAGAATTTTATTTTTTAAAAGATATATTTGTTATTTTATAGAGTGCCTTTTTATGACTAGATTTTTCAAGGCAGTGTCAATTTCTGATATTAGGTCCAGCTATTCCTTATTGTTACATTTGTCAGAAAAATAACTGTAATATTTCTGCTCCTCCAGATCTAAAACTTGCTCTTCAGTTTATCTAATGTATGTATTTAGTCCCATGAGATAGAACATTCAAAATGTAAATCAAATAATGGCATTTTTAAGAATTCTTTAACATTTTATGAAAGAATAAGTAATTGAATCAGAATTGAATAAAAATGTCAGAGTTACTCAGTTTCTATTTTTGTTCCGTCAGGACAAGTTAAAACATCTAAGCTGGGTATAGTGGTGTATGCCTGGAATCTCAGCACTCCGGGAGACTAAGAAGGATTGCAAGTTCAAGCCCAGCCTGGGCAATTTAGTGAAATCCTTCCTGTCTCAAAATAAAAAATAGTAAGAAAAGGACTGGGGATATAGCTCAGTGCAAAGGCCCTGGGTTCAGTCCCCAGTGCTGCAAAAATAAAACAAACAAAAAATCTCTTAGCTATTAAAAAAAAAAAAACTAGGGCAATAATTGCCATTATGATATGCTTAGTATATGAGCAATTATTGTGATTACTAGTAGCTTTTATTGATAAAATATGCAATTCACATATCCTTGTATCTTAGGTGAGCAACAAATTATTTCTGAGTTGAATTTTCTCCAAATGCAACTATATCCAAACACAGTCTAAAATATTATGCTATACTTACTAGTAGATACTACGTTCACTCTTAAAGTTTTAAAAAGAAAATCAAGAAAAATGTACTGTTGCACATTCAAAATACCTGCTATACCTGGAAACTGTAAGAGATCTAGGACCTGTTTTTTTCTGCTTCTTGCCACTAGCTACTGTAGAGGTGTGGAAAGCTATTCTACGTTCATTCTTATTCAGACCAAGATGTGCATGTGAGCCATTGTATCTGCAGCCCATGGATGCAGAGGCGTTTCAGAATTCAAGATAGGTTGGATTTTAGAAAGGCAAAAAATGTGTATCTTGCATATTTCATAATACCTCCATCAGGATCTAGAGCAGTCCTTGTAGAATCAAATATATTATTTCTATGGAAAAATATATGAAGGTTCAATAGCCTCTTTACAGCTCAGGTCAGAATTTTCCTTCAAATGAGCTTTAGAAATAAACAAAAACAAACAAAAAAATCAAAACTTGTTTTTCAGAACTTCTAGAGTTTGAAATTATTAATAAGGGACTAGAGAGCTATACAAATCATCTTCTGTAATTTAGAAGGAAAACAAGAGGAAAGGAAAAAAAGTGTGAAAAGATGTTACATAAATGGGTAAAGACTGAAATGAATGAACATTTATGATTATTAACTAATAATCATTAAAACTAATTCATCTCAAAGAGAAGTAAGTATTTGTGTGAGCTAAAAAGATTTCCAGAGTTGGGATATAGCTCAGTGGTAAAGCACTTGCTTTGTATGCTCAGGCCCCTGGATTTGATTCTCAGCACTGTGATACAAAATTTTTAAAAATTGTTTTGATGCATTTTTGCACATATTTCTCAGAAGAAATTAGCATGTTTAATTTTTTTGCCAAAAATTCCTACAGATGGGTAGGACAGGTATAAATATTCTTATCCTTTTACACAGAAGAAAGCTAATGTTAATTGAAACTACTTAGGTTGGTTAGTACAGAAGAAGATGGGACCTTTGACCTAAATCACAGCCTCTAAGTTAGGGTATATCCTCTCTGTAAAGAGGAGTGGAAGTACTCAAATTTGGGAGAGGTTTGACTTTCTAGGTAACAAAATATTAAGAAAATTATTTGTAACACTACTGAAAGACTGCTCCAACAGGTAGTGTCTGAGGTCTATCTAGAATTTTCCTTTCTATATTTTTCTAAAAGAGACTACAGGGACTTGAGGTATAGCTTATTCTCTTGGTACATTTGTTCTGAAAATGACAGTCTAATCATTTCCACAGCTACAATCAATCGTTGGTGTTGACAGTTGATTCAGTGGTAATTCTGTAGGCCATAGTGACTGACAGTGGCCCATAGCATGCTTCAGGAAATATTGCACCAAAAATAAAAAATGTGGTGCTTTGGAGGGAAGTAGGGTATAGTGGATAAAGGGAAGGTAGAGTTTTGCTTTGCGTGGTAACTTTCTAAGGTGCAGTAAGTGTGTTGCATTTGTAAACTGACAAGGAACAGGAATTTTATAAATCATTGTTCTACTTAGAATTTGGAATCATGTGAAAATTAGTTAATAACCAAAGATAAAAGAAATTGGAAAATGAGGCTTTTATTTGGTGATAGATACAAGAGTAAGAGGAAACTTCAACTAAAAAAATATATCTTTGCAGAAGCATGCTAAGGGACAAGATTTGCTTAAACGAGTATGTGAGCACCTCAATCTTTTGGAAGAAGACTACTTTGGTCTAGCCATTTGGGATAACACAACCTCTAAGGTAAGAAGACTGTGTGCAATATAAACAGTTGACAAAAATAAAATTTTAATTTTCTTGTTGTTATTGTTAAGAATGTATTTATGTTGGGCCAAGGATTTAGCTCAGTGGCGCTGCCGCCTGCCTCACAAGCGCAAGGTCCTAAGTTCGATCCCTGGTACCAAAAAAAGAGAATGTATTTATGTCTTCCTCTCCAAGACACAGTGCATGTAAGAGTCTGTTCTTGTTTTATACCAACTCACTGAGAATGTTTTGATTACCAGAAATTGAATATTGTTATATTGCAAGAAAAATGGTTGATTTGAAAATAATTGAGAACCCACAATTTGGTATATAAATAAAGTCACAGAGTACCTGCTTACTTAATATCACTGGAAATCATTTTTTGTAAACCAAGTGTGTTTAAATTTCTAGAAGCTGGCTCTTCTAAACGCTTTCAGCAGAAAAAATTCTTTCCACTTGCAATTGAGAGACTAGGACCCATGTTGGGGTAAAAGTTTTTTAGTTTTATTGAAAACTTTTTACCATCATTTGTGTTGCCCATGATACTCTGTCCTGTCAGCAAGTGTCATTTCCTTAATAGCAGTTTCTGTTCTCTTAATGAATTTTTAATAAGCAAATGTTGTTACCTTATTTATGTTTATCTATTTGTGTATAAAGTGTAAAAATGCATAAACTGCCTGATATTAAATCTGAAAAGCAAAGTACAAAGCTGCCTGTGCCCCTCTTTTTTTTTTTTTTGGTACTGGGGATCGAACTCGGGTCCTTGCACTTTCGAGGCAGGTGGCGGAACCACTGAGCTAAATCCCCGGCCCACCTGTGTCTCTCTTAAAGTATTTCTGGAAAGGAAAAGCTGATGTCCCTGTATCATATTCTATCTTCAGCTTTCCTGATAGTTTATAAGAATACCTTTTGGAAAAATAGTGAGCAAGCAATCCTGGGAAACGAAAGGCTCATTATAGTCAATGCATTGGGAATTTGCAATATAGACCAGATTCTTGCAGGATACTCAACGGGAACATGGTTAAAAAATATGGGCTACTCTGTTTTCTGCTGCCAAATTCATCATAGCCAACTTTCAGTTCTCAAAACTAGGTCAAAGCCGTGTGTTTTTTTGGATTAAAGTGAGAGTCCTTAGCTTTGCCATTCCTGGACACATGCCTGACACCCATAGTTTAAAGAAAGAAAGTAGCTCATGGTTTCAGGAGATTCAGTACATGGTTGGCAGGCTCCAAGGCAGAACTATTATGGTGATAGGGGAGTGATGATGAACCTATGGCATGTGTGCTGCAGTGGGCTGTTTGTATCATTGAAATCTCTAAAAGGTTCACCATCACTGTGATAGGGCATGGCAGAGCAAAGCTGCTTAGTTCATGGTGGCTTGGAATCAGAGGAGAACAGTGTCAGAGAGGAATGAATAAGGGACCATGTATAGTGTCCAAGCCATGTGTCTGTTATCCACTCAGACACATCCCAGGAGCCTGCTTTACTAATCTGCTAGGTGGTTCTCAATGCAATGAAGTTGACATATTAAGGTTAATGGTCAAGGTTCTGAGTTTGATCCCTGGTACCAAAAAACAAAACAAAACAAAAAAAACCCAAAAAGATTAATGGTCACAAAGGACATGGAAGAGAAAGCAGGAACTTCATTAACACATAGCCCAGGCAAAACTTGAACAAAAATTAGTCTGAGAAAGATTTACCATAGCATTGTCAGGTTAAAGGGCCATCTTAGTGATGACAGTTGTTCTTGAATGATATCTCTGGAGTCATCCTTCTTCAGTCTGCATGGGTTGCTCTCTTGGTTGTGTACATAGTTGTCCCTAGTATTTCCCATCACCATCTTCCTGGGAATTTGCTTTGCCTCTTTCCTGTGATATTTCTTGTTTCATCCTAGCTTTTCATTGTGTTTTGATAGAATACTCCTCCCGAGAAATGACTTTTGAGACATTACATGTCTAAAACATGTCTTCTTCATTATGTCCTCACATTTGATTGTTAGATTGGTTGGATATAGAATTACAGTCTTAAAATCACTTACCTTGAGGTTTTGAAGATATTGTTCCATGTCTTTTAGTTTCCAGTGTTGCTATTATAAAGGCCAGAGCCATTCTGATTCTTGATCTTTTGTGTGACTTTTGTTCTTCTCTCTCCCCTGTGACAGAATCAAGCTAGTAGAATTATTTACCTCCTCCTGTTTAGGGTTCTGAGTTCACAGTTCTATATCTTAGTATGGGTTGATTTTCCTCCTTTGTTCTGTGTCCATGTCTATATTCTTTACTGGACTGTGATTTCCTCAGGAATGTCCTTGTCTGCCCGAGTGTGGCAGGCATTCAATAAATGAATTGATAGAATAAGACATATTGTTACACTTTAGAGAACAGCTTTGCCACTTCCTAGTTTTGAGTTAGGCAAGTTACTTGTAGCTCTGTTTTCTTATTGGTAAATGAGAATGTTAATGAGATAATCTATATAAAAGCATGTAGAATGACCTGATGTATAGTAAGCTTTCAATAAAAATTAAGTAGTATGGGAGCCGTGACTGACGACAAAGTCATAAGGAAGCGTCTCCTCATTGATGAGGACGGTGCTGGAGATGACTGCAGAATTAATCTACTAGTGAAGAGTTTCATTAAGTGGTGCAACTCTGGATCCCAAGAAGAGGGATACAGCCAGTACCAATGCATGCTGAGCACACTGGCCCAGTGTGAGTTCTCCATGGGCAAAACATTGCTCATGTATGACATGAATCTCAGGGAAATGGAAAACTAGGAAAAAATTTACAAAGAAATAGAATGCAGCATTGCAGGAGCACATGAAAAAATTGCTGAGTGCAAAAAGCAGATTCTTCAAGCAAAATGAATATGAAAAAAATCGCCAAGAATATGATGCTTTGGCAAAGGTGATCCAGCATCACCCAGATAGGCATGATACCGTAAATACTGGGGATTGAACTCTGGATCTTGCGCTTGCTAGGCAGGCTGCGGAACTGCGGAACCACTGAGCTAAATTCCCAGCCCCTATTCTAACAGTTCTTGCCGGGGATTTAGCTCAGTGGTTCCGATGCCTGCCTCACAAGCGAAAGGACCCGAGTTCGATCCCCAGTACCAAAAAAAAAAAACAAACAGTTCTTGACTGGATGTTTGTCCTCCAACCTTACTACCTTTACATCTACAAAAAATTCATATAATGTACCTCAATAGGAAAATGGATAAACAGATTATATTATATGCATATAATAGAATACTAAATAACAGTAAATAAGAATATACTACACACTTTTTAAAAAATCAAAACTGCTTTTTATTATCATGGCAATAAATATCCTTACTCTCTGAATGAAAAAAAAATTAAGTATTGTAGTTGTTCTTATGATAGTATTATTATTTTAAAGTGAAATTACCAATTGACCAAGGCCTTGGCATTAAAAAAAAAAAGACTTGTGGATCATAATCTTGAGATGCATTCTGCAATTCTGGAACATCTTTCAGGTTGAATAATCTGCAGAATCTTTTCGCAGTTAGGGTATACCAAAGGATAATGTACTTTTTACTGAATAAAGAAATTGAATATATCTAGCCAGATTTTGTGGCTTCATTTTAGCTTTTGGAAAAGACAAATTATACAAATTTAGATTTTTAATTGTCTTTAACTGGTTAATTTAAAAATCAAATTGGCTTTATTCACAATTCTTGAGTAGAGAGCATCCTTTAGAGGATAGAATGTGAAGAATGAAGGCTCCCACCGGGCAAAGGCAGAACAGTGGGTTTTGTAAGGTAGAAACAAGGAAATGAAACAAAAGGGGAAAAATTTGCTTTGGTTGAGAGAGGTTAAAGTAGAGAGGACTACTTCCTTATTTATTTATTTATTTATTTATTTATTTAGTTTGTTTGTTTGTTTGAGACAAGGTCTCACTATGTCATCCAGGCTGGCCTCAAACTCATGGCTATCCTTTTGCCTCAGCCTCCCGAGTCCTGGGACCATAGGCATGTGCCACCATGCCCCATGGGACTTCCTTATTAAGTTGACTCAGATAGATTGTACTCTCCAGATTTCAGGAAAAACTGGTCTGTTTGGAGATCCACCTGCTTTCTTAAGATTTCACTTTAATTATGTGGTATTTAGCATGAATGACTCCATTTTGTTTTGTTCTGATCTGTTTGGGCCTATAGTATAAGAACTCAGTACAAAAAAATGGCTTCCCATGATTTTTTTTTTAAACACTATCATTCCCTATATCTGCTGTCAGTAAGCCAAAATTTCAGAAAATATCCTCTAGAAGTATATAGATATTTATGAAATTACTAAATCTGTAAGGCACTAATCTTTGTTATTCATCTGTCTAAATTTTCTGTCATTCTGAAAACAGAAGATAGAGAGCTATAAAGTCTCTGGGGGCTCATACCTGTCATTTTACAGATTAGAAAGCGAACATGAGAAAGTGACTTCTGTCTCGCAGTCAGTTTACTCCTTCAGCTGTTTTCTTTTTCCTTCAGCTGTTTGCCTGCTACCTTTTCTAAGTAATTTTCTTCTTTAGCTTTTTCTTCTTTTCCTTGATTTTTACATTACTTTATTGTTTACCTTTTTTCTTTCTTCCTTTTGATTCCTACATACAGAATTAGCTCATGTTGTGGAAAAATACAAACTTTAATATAATGAGAAATCTTTTATCCTCTTTCCATTTCCAGTCTCTACTGTCTTTTTGTAGTTTGTTTGCTTTGAGACAAGGTCTCACTATGCAGTTCAGTTTGGTTCTGAACTCACTTTGTGGCCCAGGCTGGCCTTGAACTCATGGCAGTCTTCCTGTCTCACCCTCCCAAGTGCTGGTTTTATAGGTGTGCACCACCACACCTGGCAAAGATTTGTCCTTTTTATATGTAACTGCTCTCTATAAGAGCTTCTGGATCTGTGTATTTTGTTCATAGATGATCAGGCACCTCATGCAGGGAGGAAAGTTAACTAAATTGTCTTTTTCCTCATAAGGCATCATTCCTTCCTCACTA